AAGTGCGAAGGAGGTGTCGTCGGGAAGGAAAGCGAAATCGTGTCACCTGAGGAAAAGCGGAAGTTGCGTCGTCTGGAAGCTGCGAAGCTCGCACAAGGTGTCTTCCAAACCACGGGAGACTTCGTCCAGCCTTGATTCCTTCAGTTCTGTTCCAGCCCGACGATGAAGGGCTCCATCGATTTCGTCATCTTCCTTCGTTCGTATATATATATATATATATATATATATATATATATATATTAGAAATCCCAAAAAGGCTAATATATTAACTAGAAAGAAATATACAAATACAATGTGTTGGAGGGCCCAAACATGGTACCTTGGCCACACCAAAACCACAAGGGGTTCCAAAGCTAGAAAATACTGAAAAGTACATTAGAGACATAATGCCTAAAAATGCTAAAATACATAATATCAGGTGGCTAGAGAGAAACTCAATTTGGTTTTACCTCTGCCTTTGGTTCTAGGAAAGGAGCAAGCTAATAAGTTGGTAAGATAATTGTCATTGCAGTAGTAACCAATGTATCATCCAATATGTTCCCGAGCTGGAGTCGGTCTCCATTATTCTTCTTCCTCCTGGAATAAACCTGTGTTTGCAGCGAAAGGTAACCCTCTTCCTCTTTTTTTTCAAGCTTTTTAAGGAATTATCTGTTCTGCTCATAATTTATAAAGAGGTGTTTACACTTTTTTTCTGATAATTTCTTGCCTGACGATATGAGCAATCTTTCAAATCTACTTGAATTGGAATTTGCCCCGGAATGCGTATTATAATGCACCTGGAATTAGGAAATTAAGGTCATCTTAAGAACGAATCGAACTGGTGAGTTGGAACATATGAGCAACTTGAGCAGATTAAAAGTACAGTTCTTTTTTTCTTTGGAAAACGTTAAGAATGCTAGAGAGGCTTGCACTGTGAAATTATTTGAGAAGAGAAAACTCAGATTTATTCTTCAATTGGGGCAAAACTATTGACGAATGAGAATCATACAGGGGAGTTGAAAGCCTACACGCCACACGATTTTTTAGTATTTACATATCTGACACCGAAATTTGATATCACATATGCAGAACTTCAAACACTGGCCTATTCTATATTTATTGGAGTATTTACAAACATACCACCCAATCTCTATATGTCTATATATCCAACACAAGCTTTGCTCCTTTACATTTATACCACTCATCTTTTATGTCTTTACATTTCTAACACCCAAGAGGTAATGCAGGATTGCAGTTCCTCTCATTGTTTATATGTATATCTTTGTAGATCCTCAACATGTTTATATTCATGAAAATCTGAAGTTATGCGGGCTGATTTAGTGAAGATTTGAGATCCATGTGGATTGTTTTTGGTTTCATGGCCTTATTATTTTTTGGAGAAAGTTTAAGTGTTAATCTTGTGATATTTAAATGCACATGTTTTGTGATTGTTGAGCTGCTTGTTTTGGAATGCTTCGGGCATTTGATTTTTGCGAAGTTTTGTTTTGACTCGCTCGAGTTTTTGGAGGCTTTTATGGTTTGTTTGGCCTACAGTTGGCTTTATATCGTTCTATTATTTGGATGTTTAGTTGGTATCCTGCTTTCATTTGTTTTAAAATCAGATCTTTGGAAAGTTACGACAAGGTGTTTTGCTTTGATTTGCTGAAGCTAGACTCTAAAATCTTGGAGATGCTTTGTTTTGATTTGCTGGAGTTGAAATATAGAACTTTGGGCAGTGTTTCTGCTCTAGTATATTGAAGCCGAAATACAGAATTTTGGAGATTTTCTTTGCTTTTGCTTGCTGAAACCGAACATTTACATTTGGGGGTTTCTTTGGTTTAGTTTGCTGAAACTGAACTTCTAGAAACTTTGGAAATTTCTTTACTTTGGTTTGTTAGAGCCAAACTTCAGAATTAGATATTTGAGAAGGATGTAACTAGTTTGAAGTTGCTTTACACAATGAATTTGGAGATTTCAATTAGTTTGGTCTCGCTCGTCAAAAATAGAATCTCTTTTGGTTGTGTTCACGTTATTGGAATGAATATGAATTAATTAAATGACATATAAGTTGAAAGTGGGTCTTTAAATATTCTTTTGGTGGTTACTTTTAAATATGAAATTGATGATTTGGTTACATTGAGGCTGCATTGGCTAGCTTTAACAGGTGATATTTGGATCGCTCTTTTTCGAGATTATTTTATAACTTTTTAGCAACGAAATCGATGACTTTTGGGCTGCATTTGTGGGCTATATTTGTAGTTGTGGCACAGGTTTGGTCTCTTCGCCATTTTGACTTGCTTGAAATATAGTTTGGAAATTATATCTTTTTGGTTGATCTGTTTGTGAAATTGGATGAGATGATACCCTTTTGAGTTGATTCGAGCATCATGGGGCCGCCTTTTTGGGTCTTTTCGTCGATTATTTTTGTTCACCCTTCACATTTTCGACCATTCGGGTGAATTGTTTCTTCCTCTCTCTAACCCTTTTTTTTTTATTTTTGTTCTTCCTTACTTCTTGGTTTTAGTTTTAGGTGTTTATGTCCGATACAAAATTGCACATATATAGCCATCGTTATATATAAAACCATCAATCAATGTTGCAAGTAGGTCGGTTTTAATTTGAGACTTAGAGTAGTGATGACAAAGGCACACCGGTGGTAGAGCGGAATGATATTTCATCCTCCGACATCATGACCAAATCCAGGAACCCGATGAACAGTAGAATGATAATATCATTCACCGACACAAGACTAGCGAGAGACCCATACCTTCTTAGGTTTGCGGTCCTACGCTCGACAGCGTGATCGACTCGGTTGTCCATGTGCATGCTAAAATTAATACTTCTTTTTGTATGCATGAAATCCATGTGCATGCTAAAATATAAATTTTAAATGTATTGTAACTTGGTTGTCCACTTGTCGATTACCGGTATCAGGCTAAGGAGCATCCTCCTAAGTTAGGTTTAGTAGGACACCTTTCTAATTGAGTGGCGGGCACTATACATTCGGGTGACCGATAATAGCCACCGACGTCCCTCGAGTATATATGTATAGTATCTGAGTTTAGCCCCGACCAGAGTGCTTGTGGTTTTCTCTCTTCGAGATTTTTTCGTGTGATTTTATTGGAGCTTTTGGTAAAGCACTCATGGTTTTTTTTCTGGGATCTTCCCATGTTTTCGAAGACTTTCTTTGAGTTGTCATTCACTGTTTTTCTCGAGTTTTTCGTCGTGGGTCATTTGCCGCATTTTTCTCGAGTTTTTCAAGTGGTGCTTCTTTTGTTACTCTTTTTTACTTATACAATGCATGCTAACTCGTTTCTTAAATTCTATCACTATACTTATATCTGCTACATCAACCACACTTAAAATAGCAGCGGACCTCCCAGGTATACAAGTTTGTTTTACATTTACGGCGTTTTACTTTACAGCACACTTTGTTGTTCTTCTCCACTGTACAGTCTACTGTTTTCCTACACCGCATGTTTTACGGCTCCTATACATATTGTGTTGTCATTGCTTTCATTTGCTATACCTGCTACTGTTCTTTTACCCACTATATCTTAGAGTATGAGGCCAGTAGTTGATTTTATAGGAGGTACCTGACAGCAGACCGTTGACTCAACAATTGCATGTACACATAAAATTAACATCGAACTCGAAGGTGATACGATGGGGAGCTCAGAGCTAGCATTGTGGGTAGCACGACCATCTTCAACAGCAAAACGTGTCTACGTCAACTAAACAATTCCTTAGGACTTCGAGGTTGTTTGCTTATGCAACATAAATCCTCAACTCATCTGTAGGCTTTTGTATGGGACTGTTATATAATATAAGTCCTAACTCGTCTTACGATTCCGAGGTTGTCATTTGTAACAGCCTAAATCCTCATATCTTTCAAGCTATGCATGTGAGCGTTTCACATAAATGTAAGTCATAAACTACTAAAAATTTGCAGGATTAAACACTTAAATAATTTCTCTCCAAAAAAGAAGTCAAACTATAGGATAGTTTGGGAAGTCATCGAGGTTCTCCTTTGGATCTATAACATCCCTAGTCTCTCTTCCTTTGGATTTCATAACATGTTTCAAATTTGAATCATTCCTCTTTCACACTTCTTTGTCCTATCTCTTTGAAAAGCACTATCCTTTGAAACTCTTTGAAGACAATATCCTCTGATTTCTATCGAGAGTTTTCTTAGATGACTTCGGTTATCTAAGATGTAATTAACTATAAGGATGTCTTTATATGAAACTTTTCTGAACTCAGATTAATATAAACTCTATTTAATTCTCATATTAAATAGGGGAACTTGTCGGCTTATAAATAAAATGATTTTCGCAGGCTAAACGGATATCATATATTTCTTAGTTTATTTGATCGAGTCTAACCCTCAAGCCTTGTGTTTATCTTTCATGATAGATACATGGTTTGGGTGTAGTGCTCTTTCATTTAAACTATGAAAAATATAAGATCAGTTTGATTTCGTATTTTTATAAAACATATATATATATATATATATGTAAATTAAATGTCTTTCTGAAGCGGGCGACGGGATTCGATTCTGATGACCGACAGCTTCCAACGGACAACCCCCCGACTTTTTAGTGCCGGCAGCTTATATCTTCCCCGCCTCTACTATAGCTTGAATTTAACAAAATAAAAATAAAAATCCTTTATTATTAGAATTTAGAAGTTCATTTTCACTTTGCATATCCACAATAGTGGATAATATAAAAAGCATAAAGTAAAGTTCTTGGCACATTAATGATCATTTTAGCTAACTTCAACTACAATGCAGAATTATTAAGATTAAAATAAAAAATGAAAATGTGATAGATACAGTTCCATCTTGTAAATTCATGCTGCAACATGTAAAGCACGCAACAAAAAAATAATAGATATGGATCATATGAAAGGATTATAACACAGAACTTCTGCATCTTCATGGTAGACAATGGTGCAAAGACATACATACAGAATTTTATAAAAAGGCATGAAAAAACAGAATAAGGCTAGCTGCTTACAAGCTGCAAAACATCCAGGGCAGCAGAAGCAACGGAATGTGGGCCACGCTTCTTTATTGATGCTGAATCAGCATGGCAACGCAAATCAACTAAAAGAAACTGAAAGAAAATTTTAAAAAAAGTTTAAATGCTTGATGATACTATCTCAATGCTAAGACTATCTCTAGAAGAAAAAGCATTGGATAATCAAATTAAAGGATTCCTAATTAAGAGAAATTGGATTATTAAAATCACCATGGGATTTACCTGCCACATGGGAAATTCTTGTGATAATCTCCTTGCAAAAGAGCCTGAGGATTTTTAAATCATAATGGATCAATAAAAAGATCATGAGATGAAATGGTACAAGGAAAACAATAGTGAAACATGTCATAGACTGTCTGCTAGTTTATATTCATATACGTGGCGCCTCAAAATAATAAAGCATTGATAGATCTTAAATTCAGATATGTTTTGATGAACGTCAGAGATTTGTCAACTTATAATGTGCACTCTTTAACAACTAATCTAATTGCATCCCTCATATTAAAAGACAGCAACTTCCAAAGTTGTCTATAGTAAGCTGAGGATGAGGGTGTGATAAATATATTCTAGGGAAAATACAGGGACACAAATAAGGAGAGAACAGGTAAAATTCCAAAATGGAGAAAGAATGAATCAGGAGACAAAATGACTTCAGAAAGAGAAACGTGATGATTAACTCCATAGAATTTAGGGGCATTTACATACATACCTCACAATTCTTATGCATTTACATATCTAACATCTAAACCTTCAAATTTACATGAATACCACTCAAAGCCTTAACATAACATCAATAATACCATTATCATTACCTTTTAGGAAATGAAATACATCTTTTCATCGATAGGTCTATGGCACTAAACTGTTACAAGTGTAAACATCGTGTGTCTGTAAATTTTCCTAGAATATATCAGTCTTTGGCCTTTTAGGAGGAGGAAGTGGAGGCATCAAAACAAAAATATAAGAGATCCAGGGCTACTCTACCTTTAAGCATCTATTCTCAAGGAATAGAACCAGATAACCATAGAATGCAGATAATGGGAAAATATTATTATAAGATGAAGCTGCAGTCACAAGACAAGCATAGAAAAAGTTTGCCATGTTCGAAGAACTACAGAAACAAAATGGATGAACATGAAAAACAAAATACTTTAAATTTCATGTTAAAAAATCATGTAATTTCTCAATCTCAAAAATTTTCTTATTTCTGACATTATGGAAGGGAAACCATAAATGATGGGCTTGAACACAAATAAGTTTCTTTACCCTTCAAAGAACAAATTGAAAACCGGATGTTTTGGAAACTCCTAGCTAGGAAAACTGGAATAATTAATTTGTCCTTTTTGGCGAATAAGCCTTTCAATTAGTTGTATAAGAATGTTCAGGGATATAAGAAGAGACCAATGTAATTTCATTCATGATTACGAGTTATAAATTGTAATATAAAAGGAAAAAATCGTGAAAACTTTAGAAATGCAGAGGTTCATATACCCCAGTTTTTTCTGCATCCAAGAATCCCATGGATGAAAACAGCAGTTGGTGGATCAGGCACAGACTTATCAACAACAGAATTCCACCTAACCTGCAATATTTGAACACATATTTCAATGAATATATTAATCAGTCCAAGATATATTACCAGAATAAAACTTGGGAGAATTTTGTTCTAATTGATAAGACATAAATAGAATTCGACTTAAAATTAAAAACTGATGATACGAAAAGTAGAGAGAATTATAGAAATCAACATAAAGATTTAAATATCTGAGAACCTTGACAATCATAAGAAAAGAATATTGTATCACTAAGAAAAAGTTACTTTCTTACTCTCCCCAAAGTGATGAGAAAACATGGGACTAGTTTTCTTCCGGATAGTGCTCTCTTACAAGTGACCAATTTTCATCTAAAGTTGGATCAAGGTTTATTTATTTTGGTCAAGTCTTCCTATGGCACAAGATCCCATAGTTAATTACCCTCGCCACTTGTAAGAGAGCACTCTCAATTGAGGAGCTTGTTTAGGCTAAAAAATTATGCATGTATTTAATGTTTAAGTTTGAATTGTACTAATAAGGAATGGTTAGATTGATAAGGTAATCTCAATTAACATCTCATAGTTCCAGCATCCCAAGTATATGGGTGTATTCACTGTTATTGTCCAAACATATTGAGCCTTAATATCGAAGAAATCTATATGGCAGGCATAAGCGCCTCCCCTCAAATATCTTGAATGGGCTAGAGTAAATGTGTGCATCAAAAACGTGCATTCAAAGCTAACATAAACTCATTTATTAGAAGTGTTTATCATACTAGTTGCATTGATTAATTCATAAGCGCAAAATAAAATCATTTGCAGTTCGAAGTACTAGACACGACTGATAAGAGCTTTAGATATATGGCATGACCATCAATTTTTCACTAATTTTAGACTACCATAGAAGGGCCCATATAAGAAACACGTTAAGAGTTTTTTAATTTGTACATCTTTTAATTGATGGATTTGATTTTGATTTGCAATCATGTTGATATAAGAGTTGGACAGAATTTAGGTTTATATCCAGTAAAGGTTTAAGAATTAAGTATGATTTGATGGAATTACTGGCTTTGTATTGTCCTAGCTAATTGAGATGAAGGGGTTACAACTGTTAAAAGGATCATACATTACTTACTTTGATAAGAATGTTTTCTTTGTGACGACTCAAACTAATTGAGTTGGGGATTACATTAAAAGGAGGGCCCATTTTATGTCCATTGGGTTCTTGAATTGAGCCTAACATTTTGAATTTTGAATGAAAAGAAAAAAAAAAAACCCCCCCCCCCCCCCCCCTTCAAGTTGGAGCATAAGTATCTATCATGCCCAATTTACTTACAAGGACCTCAAAATTAGGTATAAACAGTCCTTCGGCGAAGATATCTACTATTTTATGAGCAATAGAGAAAAATGGCATACAAATAGCTTCACAATCAGTCTTCTCTTTTATGAAGTGCATGTCAATCTCCACATGTTGTGCGATCATGCTGCACTGAATTTTATGCAATGCATATGGATGTTTTATTGTCACGGCATAACTTCATTGGCATGCTCATTAGAATCTACAGCACTTCAACAAATTTTTTTTAACCATAATATCTCACATACTACAATATACATAGCCTTATATTTTGTCTCAGCACTACTCCTTACAACCATATTTTGTTTCTTACTTCTCCATGTAACTAAGTTTCCCCACACATAGGTACAGCATCCAAGCATTGATCTCTCGTCAATAACTAAGTCCACCCAATCTGCAATAGTGTACGCCTCTATGCTTTTTTGTGTTGTCTTCTAAAAGAGTAAAAATTAATCTGGTATACCTTTTAGATATCTGTGAATTCTGTTAATTGCTTCAAGGTATTTCTCATAGATTGAATGTACAAATTGACTTATAAAACTCATAGCAAAGGAAATGTCTAGTTGTATATATGATAATTATATCAACTTCCTCGCCAATTTTTGACATCTAATTGTATTCACTAGATCACCTTCCTTCCCATCTCCCAGTTTGTGATTGAGATCAATGGGAGTATCAGCAAGTCTACACCCACTAATCCAAGTTTTCTTGAGAAGATCAAGAAAATATTTTCGTTGGGAAACACTAATTCCTTTCTGCAATCAAGCAGCCTCCATACCAAGGAAATACCTCAAAAGACCCCAAGTTTTGGTATAAAAAACATATGATAGAAAAGCCTTCATACAGTTCATCTCATATGCATCATTTCCAGTGAGAATAATATCATCCAAATACACAATGAGCATTGTTATTTTCCTATTGTTTGAATATTTGAAAAATATTGTATGATCTCTTTGTCCCTGAGTATACCCCTAACCTTTAGCAAATAGTGTAAATTTTCCAAACCATGCTTTCGGCAACTGTTTCAACCACTATAAGGTTTTTTTAGTTTACACAACTTTGCGGAGAACCTCTCACTAAATCCCGACGATGCATCTATATACAATTCTTTCTCCAAATTCTCATTAAGGAAGGCATTTTTTATATCTAGCTATTGTATAGGCCACCAGTCAAAATTAATTGCAAGTGGCAGAAGAACCTTTACAGAGTTTAGTTTTGCGACTTTGGCAGCGAATGTCTCTAAATAATTAATATTATATATTTGAGTGAATTCCTTGGCAACCAATTGAGCCTTGCATTGTTCTAAAGAGCCATCATGATTATATTTACTTGTAAACACCCATTTACACCCAAAAGTTGTCTTTTCTTACGGTAGATCAACTAATTTCTCCATGTTATTTTGTTTAAGAGATTTCATCTCCTCGAAAATAGCCTACATCCATTTAGAACATTTCATATGACTTTCAGACATCCTACACAGCATTAGAAATCTCCATACACGACAATTCTGAGGTAAAAGCACAGAAAGTGGTGAGTGAATTTCACACATAATGAGATAACGATGTTGAATGCAAGATTTTTCCCAAATTGGAAGGCTAGACGCATCAGACATAGAATTTGAACTAAGCAGAAATCCAAGACTAAAAGACTCAAAACTCAAAGATGAAATGGGTCGAATATGCGGGTAAAGTATTAGTGGGGATGTTAACTGGCGGGTTTGTAAATTTTTGGCAGTGCAAAACAATCTTAGACCACCCTTTTTTTTATTACTATCATTATTGTAATTCTTTTTCCTATTTCTTTATTGTTATAAACATCATATGTGACATTATATGAACTTCGATATATAAAAGTCTTGACGCAGTCTCTCCTAATATAATATCGCTTGGATTTTCAGGTTGAGCAATCAAGATTGAAGATTATGGAAGTCTTCGGTTTGAAGATACTTATGAAACTCGATAGACAAATTTTTGTTTTACTCCCTCCCTTGAATATGAGAGGTAAAAAAATTGTAATTCAAAAAAGGTGACATCGATGGTAGCAAACAGTTTTTTTTTAAAATTGAGATCAAAACATTGATACACTTTCTGATTAGGAGCATATCTAACAAACACATTTTTTTGCTCGAAGTTCCAAGTTTTTTTTTATTACAAATGTAACTTAAAGAAGCACACCAAATTATCTTTAGAGGTAAAAAAGATAAGAGTCTGTCATGTCATTTTATTGCAGAGTGTCTATACAAGAGTTTTGAAGAATTATTTACAAAAAAAATTATCTCAAAATATTTTTGAAACACACTCGATCATTATCACTTTGAAGATCAAGTTGAATCACTTTACAAAAGGCTTCAAAATTTTAGTTGAATCAAAGATCAACAACACAGTCCTAAAACTAATCAAATTGAAGATCAAGTTTTCTTCAAATTTTTACATATATTTTATTTTAAATCCTTTATTTTAAGCATTGGGCAAAAGTATGGCATCTATGTGTTTCCCTTCAGTCGGTGATTTGAACTCCCACAACTTGTCCACCTACAATTAAAATTCATTGAAATGGCAACATTCTCGAGGTCAAAAGCAATTCAACCCACTGTTGTGACTAGAAAATAAATTATTATAAAATACATAACACCTATTCAAGAGATCTGAAGAAAAACTTGACAGAAGCTCACAACACAAGAATCATAAAAAATGCAAGAACACCAAGATTTAACGTAGAAAAACCAGAAACAACAACAACAACAACAACAACAAGCCTTTATCCCAGTAAGTGGGGTTGGCTAAATGAATCATTTTCTCCATTGCGTCCTACTGAGTATTATATTTTCATTTAATTCTTATAAATTAGGATCATTTTTTATACAATAAGCCCAAGCCTTTCTATGTCTACCCCTGCCAAATCGAATCTAAAACATCTACTCTCCTAACTGGATCATTGCATGGTCGACGTTTAAGGTGACCAAACCATCTAAAACGACTCTCTCTATTCTTTTCTGCCGCTGGAGCTACACCAACCCTATAAAGAATATATTTATTTCGCATTTTGTCTCTAAGCGTAAAGCCACTCATCCACCTAAGCATTCACAACTTGGCAATACTTAACTTAGTTTTATGCTTCTCTTTTAAAGGCGAACATTCAACTTAATAGAGCATTGCATATCTCACCACTATCTTATAAAATTTTCCTTCTAGTCGAAGCGGTACTTTTCTATCACACAATAGGCTCGAAGCATTCCTCCACTTGAACCAACCAACCTTAATTCTACTAATAACATCCCCATGTATATCACCACCACTTTGAACAATAGACCCGAGACACATTTTAAAAAATTGATCACCCATAGTTACAACTTTGTCACTAGAGCTACTATTACTAAAATTACATACCATGTATTCAGTTTAAGTTCTACTCAAACGAAGGCCTTTAAACTCCAATGTAGACCTCCATAATTCAAGTTTTTTTCTCTAGTCTTATCCACAAGAAGTATATCATTCGCAAAAAGCATAAACCAAAACGCATCCTCCTGTGAATGTCTAGTAAGAGCATCCATAACTAAAGCAAAAGGATATATGCTTATAGTCGATCCTAATGTAATCCAATTGAAATAGGAAAATCTCAGTCAATCCTCCTTCTGTTTGAGCACAAGTGACAGCTCTAGTATGCACATCTTTGATGCCTTGAATATAAGTCATAT